TTTTGTATGGACTAATATAGACATTGGACTGGCGATAGTAGAAAAACCTTACGATTTCAATGATATAACGTACCGAGCGCATTGCTCGTACGTGCCGGGCCCAATAAGAATGAATTTCTCCCCATTAACTCAAATAAATGGCACTGATGTATACGTTTACGGATGGGGACATGCTCTCAAAATCAGAACGGTAAGGTGTCTTACAATCATCATCTTCATCATCATTAATCAGTCACAGGACGTCTGTTGAACATAATTTAAACCTCCCCCAATGACTTCCATATCGCCCGGTTGGTAGCGGCCTGCATACAGCGCTCTCCCGCTACCTTTATGAGGTCGACGGTCCTCCTTTTGGGTGGACGTCCCACGCTGTGTTTTCCGGTACCTACGTGGCCTCCTCTCCAGAACCTTGCTGCCCCATTGACCGTCAGTTTCACATACTATGTGTCGTGCCCATTGCCACTAACAGCTTGCTAATCCGTCGGACTATGTCAGCGACTTAAGTTCGTTTAAATGATTCTTACAAAATTTCTTTGATTTCAGTGTTATTTTACTAACAACAAGATTCAACAAAAGCAATTCACTTTTAAATAAAATAAATATTTAATTTCCCTCATAAGAAGGCTCAAGGTCACCGAAAGGGCAATGGAGTATGCGTGGAGTTTCTGTGCGTGATCGAATCAGAAATGAGGAGATCCGCAGGAGAACCATAGTTCCCGATATAGACCTCAGAATTGCTAAAATCAAGGGGCAGTGTGCGGGGCACATAGCTCGCAGAGCTGATGGCCGCTGAGACAGATAAGTTCTCGAATGGCGACCACGGGCCGGAAGACGAAGTGTGGGCCCCTCTATAGGTCGACCCACGATCTGGGGAAGGCCGTGGGAAGATTTTTTTTTTCCACAACGAGGAAGCTCTTGGCCTGTATCTCACCTGATGGTAAGTGACGATCAGGCCGAAGGTGGAAGCGAGCTTCACCCGGAATCCTCAACCACGGAGGAACTGGCTATCTTGCCTCTAACTACCGGAACACAATAATGCTGTGAACATTGTTGTTATGGCGACAGACTTAGGTAAGATGGTGGTAGCTAGCCAGGCGGACTTAGAACAAGCCCTACCACCAACCAAACCGAACAGAAAAATCTGCCCCCACTGGGAATCGAACCCGGGACCTCTGCGTCTGAAGCAGGTGGTCTTACCACTAGACCACAGAGGCGGTTAGTACGTACCTGGTAAGTACCTGGTTGTGGGCAGCGCAGGACCGGTCATTATGGAAATCCTTGGCCTTTGTCCAGCAGTGGATGTCGTTAATATTGGGTGAAACGGATTTAATTTTGCATACAACAACAAAAGCTAGGACAGAACTCTTCTGTCTCGCACTTGGCTGGTTTATTTTTTACAGTCGGGCGACTATCAGGATTACAATCAGGAATATTTGCAAGTAACGACATCACGGATTGTTGAAAAAAGCTATTGTTTGACGTATTTTAAAAACCTTACGGACATAATAAACAATTTCATGATTTGTTGCACTGGAACAGCGTATGTATTCACGAATGGAACAATGGATGCACCGATATCAACCTATAACAACGGTTGCACCAGACGAAATGTCAACGGAAATGTAAGTATTATCAAACAGTAAATACTCTACTTAAGTTAAATACTCTACTTGATACAATACACGCACACACACACACACACACACACACACACACACACACACACACACACACACACACACACACACACGCGCGCGCGCGCGCACAAAATGTATGAAAATTTTAGTTTTTGAAAGTTTCCCGCTAGGAGCGCTGTACAATCCGTCATACATTTAATTAGTGAGCGTTTTTGAAAAAAACTCACACTCAGCCCTCTGTACTATAATCCCTTTTACAGGGATGTTCATTTGTTACAAATCACCCTGTAAACATGTACTTATACCAGTGTGTATAACTCAGGTATTCTATGTATAATCTAAATATACAGGGTGGAATTTTGTAATGCCACCTGGAAGGAAAGTACTCTTAATATTGTAGATAGGATTTTTTTCTCAAAAAAAACATTCCTTTATTTTTGAAAAGAAATAGAACTGCAATCAAAGATTTACAAAAATTTTCTTGCCACACCCGGGAATTGAACCAACTAAAATCTGCTAAAAATTACACCCTGTATTTTTATTACATCGATCGTTAGGGTTAAGTATAAGGATGAAATCTCTCTAACAAACTTGATGAATCAAATGAAAGGAAAACCATGAAATCTTAAATTATTTTAATTATGTTACAGAAAATTTTCGAAAATTTTTCGAAAATCTTTGAATGCAGTTTTCTTTCTTTACAAAAATAAAGGAATGTTTCTTTCAGTAAAATTTTCTATCTACAGTATTAAGAGATGGTGGTACGCTGGAGCGAAAGGCTACTGAAGCGAAACACTCGCGGCCGAAAAAGTACCTACTTTTGCTGACCTAGTAGAGCCTAATTTTGTACCTTTTCAGCCGCAAGTGTTTCGCTTCAGTGGCCTTTCGCTCCAGCGAAGTTACCACAATGAATGTTTTTCGCCAAAACGTACTTCGCTAAATCGACCTTCGCCACTAGGTACGTACGGGACCCCTGTTTGTAAGTTATTTAGTTACCTACAAAATGAATTGGTTTCAGTGCGACAAACCTGACTACCTCAATTACGATTATGGGTTTGACTCAAGAAGAAATGCAAATTTTACAGTTGACAAAACCTCGCACAATTCAACCGACCTAAAAGGGGAAATAGTTAGAAGGCAAGGTGTCATTTGTCAGGTATTTTACTTTTAGTTCACTCTAATCCTCTATCTTTAGTCTGGTCTGTGAGCACGTAGAATTTTGTCCAATGACCCCAAGCTACCCATCCTTATCGCTTGCGCGTAATTATATGTATTGCTGTCGCGACTACGCGCGACGTGCGCCCGCAGTGAGTGTGCGAGCGCGACAGCAACATAATTCCCTCCAAGGCTCGCTCACGAGCGAGCCTCTCTGGCTTTGAGGGAACCCCCAATCCCCTCCTCCAGTTGTTTTTATAGAGGTTATTTATATAACTTAGAACGACCATGGCGGCCCCCTTGTAGCCTGGGTTGGGTCTGAAGAGCTTGTGTTGGGCGTGGCCTCCACCAGTCTCCACTCGCAGAAGTTGCACTGCATACCACCACACCTGTACACCAGCACACAATGTACCAGCCTGTTCCTCAAATGCGCGCTAAAGGACCCATCAGCTTCGTAAGTAAAATCGTTGTTACAAACCCTAATCTCATCATTAGTGACCGGATTATATGTATGTGTTACAGTCAAAACTCATAATCGGTCAAAACCACTGTTGACTGCAAAAATCAGTCAAAAGTGGTTTTGACTGATGCCTTTGGTCAAAATCACTTTTGTCAAAGTAATTGAAAGAAAAAAAATGTGAAATATTTTTTGTCATTTTTCCCGTCGATAAAAATAGGTCTAGTTTCACCTATTTTCATATTAAGGCACTTTATCAAGACTCACACTACTGTATAGCATCTTTTATTTACTATTATCTGTTCACACATTATTATTATTGATGGTTTTATATGCAGTTTCGGTTAGTTAGTGTCCGTGACTACCACTCGGTATGGGCCACACCTCAACGTGGGCTTCCTCAGCCTGGGCCACGGCATATGCTGAGTGGGGTCCCATTGCGATAGGCATCGCTGTTGCGACAAGGTGGCACTGCTCAGACTTTTTATTTCCTTGTAATATTTATGTCTCTACGAGATAGGGGTCCCGCCTTCTGCCACTTGATTTTAGCAATTCTGCGAGGATGCGGGCAGCAGGACCGTTCATTGTGAAAAACCTTGGGAGAGGACTTTGTCCAGCAGTGGACGTCATTTGGCTGAAACGAACGAACGAATATTTTATGTGCTATTTCTGTCTTTTTTTCCGTATACCTTCTAAGTGATGTTCATCATTTAATCCCACAGACTTCTTTCTCTTTCTATCAGGTCTCTTACCACAGTGAGGTTCTGATTTACGCTAATTTAAAGTTTAACTTTTATAGGCGCAAGTCATGCGATGAAATGGGTAAAATAGCTGGATATGAAATACATGAAACTGAAATTGATTGGGGTCAACACGACGGGTAAGATTTATGCTTTCTAATGATTAAAAACACGTAGGTATGCAGATTTATTCCTATCCCATATTTTTTCTTTTGAAATGTTCGGTTGAACTATTGTTAAATAGACGTCAACAGCTGGTCAAATGCCCAAAGGATTCCCACACTGTCTTTCCCGAAGACTATAATCCGGGCCTTTTCAAGGCGAGAGTGAATAGTGAATAGGCACCTCAGATAGGCACTTACATGGCAGATATGTACCATCCTAGACTGCATCCCACTAACATCAGGTGCGAGTGTAGTCAAATACCTGCCTTGCTATGCATTAAAAAAATCACCTGTCTTTAACCGTAACTTTAAGGTAACTGTTTTTTTGTATAAAGTTTGACAGATTTTTGACTTTTGTCAAAGTTGAAGTAAGATGGTGCAGCATCAGCATCAAATAGTTCGTGACACCAAAAAGTTCCCAAAGTGGGCAAAAAGTTGACAACACAACCTTAATCCAATGATTTTAACAAAAACGTGTTGCAAAGTTTTTGGCTACTTTGTGTGGCACGTTTTATTCGCGTCGATAGAATGCCAGTGATTTTTTATTTCAGAAATGCAAATAATGACGCAAATGGGACTAAAACAAATGCTATTGACAAAGATGTATTCAATTGGAACCCAAATGAATCAGACAAAAAAAATAAAGGTGATTTAAGAACAAATGAAGAAAACCCAAATAAAAACATAGATTCGGTCCAAGATGTTGTCATATTGTAATATTTTAAAGATGCCGAATCATTTTTTAATGATAACGTCTTAAATTTTTAATATTAACATGTAAATAATAAAATAAATAAAACATCATTATTAACAATAAATCTTTTTTATTTCTTTGATATTTAAAATTGTTTATCCCATTACTCGAATAAGTTCCAGGATTCAATGTATCATACATTCGCCACTAAGTAGTTAATATTTCTAGAAACTGGTTTCATAAAACGATTAGTATACGCTACTGGCAAATTTTTAGCCTTATACCTTCAAGAAATTGTCCTGAAATACAATGAAAAACAAGTAAATTAATTTCAAAATTATATGATTGTCTAACGGGACTATTCCCACCTCACGTGTCCACCGCTGCAACTCCTGTGTAGCTAGGATCTACGACTCGACTGCCAATAATAACAGGACCAGTGAAGGTCAAAGTCCCTTCTTTCCAGCGCAGATATTTTCGTCTTCGATATAAAAGCCACATTGCAATTATTTGTTCACGGTCCATCTTTGAAAGTATGAAATGAACGAGACTGTACTCAGTCTGCTCTCTAGTCGATACTGCTGTCATCAACCGGGGCGTGTGAAAGCTCATTTGACGCCGGGTAGCCGGCGCCGGTTAGCCGGCAACCGGGACGTGTGAAAAGGCACTTAAGCTGTCATTGGACCCGCAACGAATTGAATCAGAAGAACATAGGAGGAGTCCGAAGTTAACGTTCGACTTTCCAGCAGTGCAAAGCGGATGACAAAACAAACATGACTGTCTAACAAAAGTATAATTCTACCTTTCATCAGACCACGCTACATTTTGTTGAGTATAATCCATCTCTGTGATAACATCGTCGCAATACATTTGCCTCCTTCTAGAGCTGAAACATTAAAGATTTATTATACATATTTAATCTATCTAAAATAGTGATTTTAAAAAGTTCGTAGAACTGATGGCCCGGGGAAAATTCTTGAGTACGACGACCGAAAGACGTAAACGTAATGCTAGGACCGATCGATCTACTCAATGGACGATCGACCGACGAGCCGGTGAAAAATCAAAGGCATAATAAATGTTCATGGTTGAGTTGTAACTTTTAGACATCAGAGGCGGAATTGTGTAAAGCAATCGTAATCATTTGACAGTTCATAACGTACGATTGACAGAATAATCGTACGTTATGAATTGTCAAATGATTACGATTGCTTTACACAATTCCACCGTCCCCTTGGCAATGTGTCGTTTTAGTTTCGAAATCCCTTCACACCGGCGTTTTTTGGGAGTAGTTACTTCACTGCATGAAGTGATCTCGAAATTACGACTCTTTGCTACTTATCAGGGGGTGCTGAAGTCTATTTATTTAAAGACTTTATTGCGCACACATAAAAATGATCAGTACAAAAAGGCGAGCTTAATGCCAAGTGGCATTCTCTCAAAACAGAGAGTCTGCGGTATTAAACGTATTTTCGGTATTAAAAATACCGGAAAGTACCGGAAAGCGCAGCGTAGGACGTCCAACCACAAGATGGACCGACGACTTCATAAAAGTAGCGGGAAGGCGCTGGATGCAGGCCGCCACCAACCGGCCATTGTGGAAATCATTGGGGGAGGCCTATGTTCAGCAGTGGACGTCCTGTGGCTGAAATGAATGAATGAAAAAAATAAAATTACGTCAAACCTGGTGAAATTGGACCATATGTAGCATGCCAGTAACTTGTTGATGCTAGCAGTAGCCGTGTACAAGTAGGGCGGCCGACAGCGCATGTCGTCTGACACTGAGAACAGACTGGCTATGCCTATGACTGTCTCATGGCCACCGATCCAAGCCACCAGTGGCCCTCCGTGGTCATTCTGCAATACAAGCATCAAGAATTAAGAAAAGAAAGAACGAAACATTATATGTACATCATCATAACCATAACCCACCCACAAGATGGACCGACGACCTCAAGCTTCAACCACACCAAAGCCCAATGACAGGTCGCGTGAACTGTCATAGGTCTTTGATCGCGCCGGGGAGATCTGCACGCATTGGTGTGATTGAAGCATCACAAAGATTAGGAAGGCGCTGGATGCAGGCCGCTACCAAGTCTACCAACCGGTCATTAAGGAAATCATTGGGGGAGGCTTATGTTCAGCAGTGGACGTCTTATGGCTGAAATGATGATGATGAATAATACTCTCTCTCATTTCATAGTTTCCCGATCAAGACCTTACATCATGTGACTAGTCTTGCTGCTTACTTAATATGCAATAAAAATTTTGAATTTGAATTACTTGACAAAAGCCCCCGACGTGTTCACTAGTGTAATTGATCCTTGCACGCAATACCTCCATACAATTCTAAAACAAAAATTATTATTGAATAAACAAAAAATCCAACTGCGCAAAAATGAACTAAAACGATAAAAACAAACCTTAGTGTTTACAAATGCAGTCGGAGGCATCAATGACTAATTATTTTGTTGGTGATATGTATTTGATGCCCCCGAGTCCGACTGCATTTGTGGCTAAGGCTGGGTTGCACCATCTTACTTTAACTTTGACAAACGTCAAAAATCTGTCAAACTCCACACATAAAACACCGGTTATCGTTATAGATACGGTCAAAGTTAGGTGGTGCAACTCAGCCTAAGGCTTGTTTTAATCTTTTTAGTTTATTTTAGAAAAAAAAAAGAAAATATTTATTGCCAGATCAAGTGGTACAAAATAAAAAGAATCACGATTTACAAGTAGTATTAGTACGGCTAAGAAGAAGTGTAATATAAGGATAAAATAAATCAAAAGATGGGAGAGGGCTATGATCAGTGTTTCTTTACGTGATCGAATCAGAAATGAGGAGATCCGTAGAAACGAACTACTAAGGTCGCTGACATAGCCCGACGGATTGGCAGGTTGAAATGGCAATAGACAGGGCACATAGTAGGTATGCAGAACTGACGGCCGATGGGGCAGCGAGGTTTTGGAGTGGAGGCCACAAAAGCGCAGTTTTTAGGACATTCATCCAACCAACCAACGACCACATTTTAGGTAACGGGAAGGCGCTGGATGCAGGCCACTATCAACCGATCATTATGGAAACCATTGGGGGAGGCCTATGTTCAGCATGGTATTTTATTAGGTCTCTTGAGCCGGAGGAACAAAACCTTCTTCTACCACAGTCTCTTCCAGGATCGCCAGAGTGAATTTTTGTTCGTGTAAAATAATTAAAAATGAACCACTGGCCTGGATGCGGGCGGCGCAGAACCGGTGGAAATCCTTGGGGGAGGCCTTTGTCCAGCAGTAGACGTCATTCGGACGTCATTCGCCACTGAAATGAACGAACTACTGACCTTTTCACCAACACCCTTCCTTCCAATCGACAAGGGGTCGTACGTGTCGTTGCAAGTGTCAAAAAACTGAGTATTTTCGTTTATAATGTCGCCATTTTCATCCAAATTTCCCGGTTCCTCGACGCAGATGAAAAATTTTTTAAAGTGATTCGAAATAGAAATTTTGTCTATCGCCGCTTTGTTCCTTGCTTGACAATCTGTGATATTAGTGGTCGTGCCCGAGCTGAACCTCAAAAACTCTTCATTCATGTCCAGAAATTCTCCTTCCTTAAACATAGGATACACTCTTAACTAATTGTTTTTAATATCGTTTCATTACGTCTACTACTACTCATATGCGTCACGACACAACACTTCAGATAAAATTTATCCGCCATAATGTTGGAATACTAAGGGCCGTAGCTCATTTATCAACCCGGAAAGGGATCGTAACCGTATCAGCTCGGGGCGGTCAGTTTTCTTTGTATGAAACTCCATAATACTCCGCACTTCAACGCACATCCGCACCGTAACGTAAACGCCTCGCCTCGCTGGTAGCGCATTTTCTTACATAACTTTTCAATTCCTATCATTGGAGGTCCGAAAATATTTCTCATACAATTTGATACCATAATGATCATTCTTCATAAAAAATTTAAAACCTACATATTTAAAAACATAATCATTGATATTCATAATATCACTAATCATACACTTAGTTTTTAATAATATTTGTTTTCATATATTTTTCTATACTAATGATCGAAACTTATAATCATTCGAATAAATAACTATAATATTCATAAATGTGATGTATCCTAATATTTGTTTTCATAAATTTATTACTCATAAGTGTATTTATCCATATTATTGAAAATCATGATGTCTATATTCGTATTAAATCGTATTTTAACATTAAATTAATTTGAAATGGTCCAAAACAGGCAATATTTTGTGCCACAAAACTAACGTGACAGAAACGAATCGCTGCAAAACCGACTCCACGTAGTCTTGTCTGCCCTACCCCTAGAGTGTAATTTAAAAGCCGGAGGCGCGGAGGGAGGGCAGCCCTCGCCCGCTGTAACGAGGCTCAGGCGCCCGGGTGAGCTGGAGCGGCTGAGGCTGGTCGCCGAGGCGCCGAAGGCGCCGATGGCGATCCAAAAAGCCGAAGCTGCGGAAGCAAGCGTGGGTGCCTGAGCCTCGTTACGCAAGGGCGGAAGGGCTGCACATCCCGCAGCGCCGGAGACGAGGAGATACCAATGCATGCTGCATGCTTGCTTTCATGAAGCATGCTCTGCATGCTTATCTACTTTTAAGTTATACATGATTTTTTTAAAGATACGAGTATGTCTGTTATAAAGTAAATTATTCTGAACAACAACATTATGAGTTGAAGTATGTTCTTAGTAACAACATTATTAATGAAAACAATATGATCAATGAATGTTATGAAGAAAAAAGATCTGAAAATAAAAATTATGTATATTAAATGGTTCTTGGTAGTAACAGTATTGATAAAAAAATTATGATCACTAACTGTTATGAGCTCCGTTGGTAGTAATAAAAATGTATGAATAAAAAAAGTATGAAAAATAAAATTATGAAGAGAGATTATTATGAACACAAATCGGTAGTAAGACAAAGAATATGATTTAGAATTTTATGTGAGCCAATATAGAACCCGCCTCGCTATTGACAGCGCGCGAAAGGCGATGACAGCTCGCAAAAGACGATACGGTGTTGATCCCTTTCCTAGTTGATAAGACTAATCCTTAATCATACTCACGGGTCGGTAATATTGCGCGTGACCCCATCCTAGATTCACCACATCTATCCCACCGCCATCGAAATGCGAGTAAAAGTTTACCCCTATGTACGCTGGGGGGTACGAACACACATCGTAGTAGCTTCTGTCGTTGAAAGCGAACGGGGTATCCACTTGAGCCACGCAGATGTCTCCTAAGCTCCACACAAAATCATTATTAAACACTTTAGTCCCGTCGTAACCTGGAAGAGAATCAACAGGGTAGCTGCAATGCATTAAAAAGAGAAAGAGAGAAAGAAAGGGAAAAAAGCGAGGATGAAAGAAACATTTATTACAAAGGATTACAAAGGACATCACACAAAGATAAAAAGGTTCATGGACAAAACGGTAGCACATAGATAAAATAACAATAAGAAAGAAATAAAATAAAAAAGTGTAGTGAGCAGACGTGCTACTTTCTTAAAAAAATAAGAAAATATAAAAAGAAGAAAATAAGTACCTACAGGGTTCTATTGTTTCGATTAGTGGGGCTTGAATTGAAGGACACTTTTTTTTTCGTCGGGAAATGCTTTGCGCATACCCCACTGGTCGATGGGGACGGCCAGTGGGTTATGTGGGACTCTCCCCGCCTAGCCACAACCCGACGGTTTCCACTAGAGTCCCTCGCCATTGCACCCCATGAAGGACTACACTAGGCTAAGTTGCACCACCTAACTGTAATGATAACTATATCGATATGATTTTTGTATGGACTTTGAAAGATTTTTGACGTCTGTCAAAGTTAAATTGAGATGGTGAAACTCAGCCTGAGGGTAGGTACATTAATTATTTAATTATGCATCAAGTACAATATTAATATTAGTTTTTAATTTTACTGGAATGATACCTATCAGAAGTTCTTACTTTTCGGGTGGCAAAAATTGATGACCTTCTTCCTCTTCTGCATGATACACTCATCTTTCTCCATTTGCTCTGCGTTGACGTACCTATTGTAGCCATTTATGACGTAAGCATGCGGCACATTTTGGATGCACGACGCTGACGTCAGAACGTAGTCTTTGGTGATGATGACCCCGCCGCACGTCCATGCCGAGAACTCTAGAGGTGGTGCGGCTAAGAAATACACCTGGAAGAGAATCATATTATGGTTATGTGAACGATATAGCTCGCAGAATTGCTAAAACCAAGTGGCAGTGGGCGGAGCACATAGCACGCAGAGCTGATGGCCGCTGGGGCAGAAAAGTTCTCGAGTCGGAAGACGTAGTGTGGGCAAATCCCCCACTATCTGACGAAGACCGACGATCTGGTGAAAGTGAAGGTGCCTGTGTGGAGGTTGCGGACATCCTTGGGGGAGGCCTTTGTCCAGCAATGGACGTCATTTGGCTGAAACGAATTACGGTTGATGAATGTGTCCAAAATATTTTGTACTCAATGTATCTGTATCTGTACTGTATCAAACGTAAGAATAGTTTTGAAATCTTTAAAGTACTTAATGTTGGTTTATCTATAATCTACCTATAACGTGATAGGAAAGTTGATAGGTACCTATTACGCTTAGCTTTTTAACTTTCATATTTATGTTGGATGGGATTAATCTTGATAAATATCTGAACCTAGAGATATAAAATTAATAAAAACCTTAGGTTATAATGAACTCGGAAACGCAAGAAACTTACCATGTACCTTTTTTCACCAAGCACACGATGTCCATTCGTAATTGCTGTGACCACTGGAACAGTCAAACAAAGTAGTTACATAGTACATTCCTACTTTTGTAAGTAGGTACTGCTACTATAAATCAGAAATGAGGAGATCCGTAAATGAACTAAAGTCGCTGACATAATGACAGATTAGCAAGATGAAGTGGCAATGGGCAAGGCAAGGTTTTGGAATGGAGGCCACGTACTGGAAAACGTAGCGTAGGACATCCACCCACGAGGCGGACCGACGATCTCATAAAGGTAGCAGGAAGGCGCTGGATGCAGGCTGCTACCAGCCGGCCATTATGGATATCATTGGGGGAGGCCCATGTTCAGCAGTGGACGTCCTATGGCTGAAATGATGATGACTACTATAAACTTTGTGATAAACGAATACCTACTTTACTTAAATAATATAGAAAGAAATATGAATCCTATTTAATATCAAGTTGGAGAAAAATACCTTTCAAACTATATGCAACGAAAGTGAAGAATTTGATCCAATTTTGATAATTTTTCTTCATATTCCACCAGATGACTTCGTTTGAAATAATTTGATACAAACTTTCAAATATTAGATAATACCTATACTTATTTTACATCGCACATTTAACTGTTATAATTTTTCACGTCCTTTTTTTAATGTAACGTCATGGAAGTTTAGGCTGAGTTGCACCACCTAACTTTAACGGTAACTATAACGATAACCGGTGCTTTTTGTATGGAGTTAGATTTTTGACGTTTGATAAAGTTAAAATAAGATGGTGCAACTCAGCCTTAATGGAGGGCATAGTTAAATGTAAATAAAAAAGTTGAATAACAGCAACAATATTGCTTTAACTTACTTAATACATAGATAAAATAATATGATTCCATAACATTTAGTTACTACAAACTTCATAAAAATTGGTCAGAATGTGTGTCTGTTAAGTAAAAGAAAAAAAAATGATTTTAGAAAAACAGGTGACGTTTAGAACAAATTAATTAGATGATAAATCTCGCTTCTTTATATTTTAGGAATTTGGAAAACAATCGTAAGTAGCTGCAAGTTGATTTTATTAACTGAAATATAGGTGAATCCCTGAGTGAAGGCTAGTCAATCTAATAATATAAAGCTGAAGACGCTGTTTGTTTTCTTAATCGCGTTAATCTCAGGAACTAATCGTCCAGTTTCAAAATTATTTTTGTGTTAGATAGCCCACGGGAAATATTATTCAAACTATTTTCACGCGTACGAAGTCGCGGGCATAGCTAGTCATTGAATAAATTGGCAAAGAATTCGAATATTTCGAATCCCATCCAATTTGCATGTGCAACAGACCGCGAAGTTTGTAACAAACTAATGAAAAGTCAATTTAGTTAACCATCAACAGTCATGCTATCACCAAAACTAAGTTTCCTATTTTTGATTGCAGTTTTTCATCGTGGGTAACATTTGTTATTTTTTACTCTATATCCTGTTAATTATTTCATTACCTAGGTGCCAATAAAAAAAATTAAAAATACCTATTTGGTAACTGGTAAACACAGCACTAAAAACATGCGTTGGTAGAGTGTAGACAATTTTAAATTCGAATCGATATCGCTTCGTTACGTGTCCCCAGGTTGTGACCCAAAAAGATCGATGATAGATAATGTTACTTCCAAATACTTAAGAAGAACAAGGATAATGATTATAAGGGACCATCACCTACTGTAGCAAATATGCCTCGTACAGTTCCTACAGATACCTACTTTTAACCCTATACTTGGCAACGACGGTTTTGGTTAATATTTGTGATTTACACTATAAATATTGGATTTATGACGAGTAAAAATCATGTAAAAAATACGAAAAAAAATCTTAGGTATGTACTTTTGGAAATATAGTACNTGGTGATTTGGGTTGGTTGGAGTAGGAAGATAACCACCCAAGAGAACCAGGAGACTAAGTGCGGCTTCTAATTCATCAGCTGAAGTGTCACCGCTACTGACTTTCGACCTGGTTCGAGATTTTGGAACCATAACCAGAATTTTGCGCGCCTGATTTTGTTGCTGCAGCACTTAGTTGTCCAAAAAACAACAATTCTTTAGTAAATGAATTAAAACTCATATCAGTATATTATAATTTACAGCTTTGAATATTACTAACTTATAACATATCACTTTTTATGCGATAAAATCTATGAAAAAATCATAAAATAAAGTCAACGAGAACCTGGCAATGTGTCTTTAAAGATACATTCAAAATTGAAAGTAAATTATTACGTATCTGACAATGTGCATTTAGAGATACATTCGGACAATCCGCATCGTACAAGAATAATTATACAAGTTTTGGGATGAAAAAAAAGCACTATCATCAAGAAACATTTATTTACTGTCCATATTACTACAAATAATCACCAATATTCTTTAAAAAAAACACCGAAAATAATAAAAATCATCAGCCGGTGCGTAGACGCCTGTCAATGGTCTGACATTTTGCATATTACTGTTAAATCTGTGCAGCCTGTAGCGATTCTATACTGTGTAACACAATCTGTAGTATTTGGGCTAACGTTATTTTAAAAAAACATTTGAAAATAGTCTTTGGTTTCTCCCCCATATTTTTGTTTTGGTCAACGTATCTTTAAATGCACAATGCCAAGAAAAGGGTTAAAGTAAATTTCTATTAAGTAACTATAAGGTGGACCGACGACCTCATAAGGAAGACGCTGGATGCAGGTCACTACCAACCGGTCATTATGGAAATCATTAGGGGAGGCCTATGTTCAACAGTGGTCGCAGTAGACGTCCTATGGATGAAATGATGATGATGATGGTCAGTGCGTAACTAGGACACGTCGTTTAAGCAGACGTTCAGAATGATAAATTGAAAACTAAAATAAGTTTCAACTCTAGATAAACTCACACTGTTCTTCAAAATCACTGAAACTCTAGCATTACCTAAATTTTAGTATCAAACTATTATTTCATTAAATAAAACCAGCCTACTTAAAAACAGGCTTCTTCTCAATCTCTCATTAGTATCGAGAACTTCTTATCGAATCGACAACAAACCTAAACAGTCATTATCATCATCATTTCAGCCACAGGACTCTACTGCTGAACATAGGCCTCCCCCAATGATTTCCACAATAGCCGGTTGGTGGCGGGTGACCTACACAGTGTCAGCCCAAAACTCCGCTACAACAGTGGCGTTGTCAGCAGCATTAATTGCTCGACCTATCTATGGAGATCTATTGAATATTTTTTGATAAAATTTTACCCATTACTCCCCATTTGTATTTCAGTTATCAAAACTCAACGCAGAATCAAAGATGGTCAAGAAACCGATGCTGAAAAGCGATATGTGGTAAATATTTTACTTAATGGTTGGTTGATACTTGATGGTTCGAAGGCAATAAATACATTTTTTATTTATTTATTTATTTATTTATTTATTAATAATCTACTTTCAGGTTCTTAATTTTTATGTGTTTTTCTTTATGTATTGGCAATGTATTGGGCTTTCAAATAACATCAAAATTGGTAGGATACCGTGATTGTGTCAGAAGAAAATCTTTAAAGTTACTATTTGTCGCGGAAGGTGTGATCTATTTGACGCCGAATGTAGAAAAAACAAGTAAGTCTTGAATGTTCTAAAATGTTCCAGGTGTACTTAGTAAAGGCTCCAACATCTCCCAGAGCGTACGACGCTTGGCTCTGTGGGGGGGCCATAGTGAGCAAAGACTACATAGTGACCTCAGCTGCTTGCGTCGAAGACGTCCAGCATATGTACGCCATAGCTGGCTACAAGAAGTACGTGCCTACCAGCGAGCTGGAAAACGATCAGTGCACGCAAAAGATGAAGAAGAAGGTCGTGTTTACTTGCGTTCCCAAATGTAAGGCTAAAGTTCTTGTTTGACCAATATCAGACAAAATACCCACACGTGAAGGACGTCCACCCACAAGGTGGACCGACGACCTCATAAAGGTAGCAGGAAGCTAGGCGCTGGATACAGTCCGCCACCAACCGGCCTTTGTGGAAATCATTGGGGGAGACCTATATTCAGCAGTGGACGTCCTACTGAAATAATGATGATGATGATTGAGACCGAATACGCTTGCAATACTTTCGTTCGTTTCAGCCAAATGACAGCAGTGGTGCTATACAAAGGCCTCACTTATGGATTTCCACAAAAATTCCAGGAAAACGTGTCTCATGACGTCACAGGAGAAATTAATATCTTTGATTTGTGTGTTTTGAATGGTAGGGCTACTATTACGCTAACTATTGACAGATGGAAGTGGTGGAGGTAATAATATTGTGTAGGTTCGTTCAAAATTTTAGACTTTTCTATACCTAAATTTTTTCTTATTCAAAATGTTACTAAAAGTCGCCTTCCGGAATGTTTCTCTTGAAAGCTTTCAAAACGGCACGGTAAATTTTATTTTTTTGCTTCCTTGCAGCATACGAATTGGACTACGCTAAAATTGAGAAATGGTCGTTCATAGACATAGCGGTGGTGAAGGTGGAATCACCATACAATTTCAATGACATGACCTACAATACCCTGTGCTCATACAAACCTTTGAGCATCCCGATCAACTACGAGACAAAATATCAGGAACCTGGTGTTGATACTATGGTGCTTGGTTGGGGACATTTGGACCAATGGAGGAAGGTAAAATCGATGAGTATGATGCCGTATGGTTGCTACTTCAGTTTGCTAATCCGTGGGGCTATATCAGCGACTTTAGTTCGTTTACGGATCTCCTCATTTCTGATTCGATCTCGTAAAGATACACCCTCTCCATAGCCCGCTCTTCAATTTTGAGCTTATTTATAAGGCCTATACATATTATGAGGCCACGTTTATCATCACTGGTAACACACACTGATTCAAGACTTTCGTCTTTAGGCACTGAGGTATTTTGGACAATAAATAAGTTATTCTGTTCTATTTTCCTTTAGCCAGAAGACTCGACCGACTACAACCAAGATACCTTGCACTTCGCGGCAACCCTAATCCATGACAAGGAGGAATGCAAAAAGTACTTCGCAGAAATCGGTTCTTTGGATCATGTCATTGACAAGTACATGATCTGCACTTTAGAGGGCGGTAACATCGACTCGAAGGGAGAGCAGATACTGAAAAGCAGGCCAGTAGCTGATGGATGCACTCCTAACATTGAAAGGTTGAAGCATGGTGATATTGAAGTAAGATTATCATACTATTATTACCTTTATAAAGCCTGGTCCGTGAGCACGTAGAATCCCGTCCAATGACCCCAAGCTACCCATCCCTATCGCTCGCGCGTAATTATGTTGCTGTCGCGACTGTGCGACGGGCGCCCGCAGTGAGTGTGCGAGCGCGACAGCAACAGGGTCATTGGACGGGATTCGACGTGCTCACGGACCAGGCTTTAGCACTAGCTATTATACAGGGTGTTGATCTCAATGATTAAGAAGCTTATTCTGATCATGAATCAGTAAAAAAATGTACTTCGAAAAAATTTTAAAACGAACTTTAACTTTAGTTAGTTAAAGAAAAATATCTATTTACACTACCTACTTTACGTGGATTCCTTCAGTAGGCTATCCGACATGATAAGCGAGCAATCCGCGTAGCTCGATGGTGCCGCAGTGTAAATGTATTGCAGTATTGCGAGCCACAGTACAGTCGATGTCTCACGGAAAATACTCACGGCACTGGATGCTGGCCGCTCGCTACCAACCGGTCATTGAAATCATTGGGGGAGGCCTATGTTCAACAGTGGACGTCCTATGGCTAAGTAAATGATGATGATGATAACTGGCTAGTACTGGCCACACAGCTAGATTACGATAATTTGTAGCAAAGCTAAAGTTTCTGATGTTAATATTTTTTAGTCGCTATGCCTATGAAAACGTTTCATTGTTATTAATCATTTTCAGTGCGAGGAGGACGAAACGGTCATCATGGATGAGACCAGAAAGACATTCTCTAAAATACTGATGAGACAACAAAACAAAACTAGACGACAAGGATTTTGTCAGGTGCTTTTACAATTTTTTTTTCTGTAATACCTAACTATCGTTATTTGATTTCCCTCTACTGCTTGGTCTGGTGAACTCACTCCTAGTATGTACATACCAACATATTTCCAAGGCCCAGAACAGACGGTGAAACGCAACTGCAACGAAACTGCAACTTTCTGATAATTCTTATGAATGAAACTGAACCTGAAAGTTTCAAACTGGTCGCGTCATGTGTGGCCTCTAAACGGACGCTATGGCAGAAACTTAGATGCAACTCAAAAGTAACTAGCAGTTGCAGTTTCGTTGCAGTTGCGTTTCACCGTCTGTTCTGGGCCTAACTGGAGAGGTAAACAGGAATATTAGTAGTTTGTGTACACCACTAATTACTTTACTTAATTATGTTTATATCCGTTGTCTAGTACCCATAGTACAAGCTTTGATTAGTTTGGGACTAGAGGCGCAGTGTAAAAATTTTCAAGGACATTTATTTTAATAAACTTCTATTAACAAGGGCTTGGTATCTCCAGAACGATCACGGCGGCCCCCTAGTGACCTGGGTCGGAAGCCACGAGGTGCTTGTCGGGGTGGCATCGGTGTTCAGGGTGACCGACGACTCTTATTGCACCGGGCCCTACCTGTATACGAGCACGCAATGCAACGGGGCCTTTCTGGACTGCGTCGTCAATGAGGGAGAGACGTAAGTTTTCGTCATCATCATCGTCAGGACTTTTGGCCTCCCCTCCAGGAGAACCCTCTTATTTTACTAGAGCAGTGGTTCTTAACCGGTGGTCCGCGGACCACTGGCGGTCCCTGGAGGCATTCCAAGTGGTCCGCGAAGACATCGTAAGAAATTATTGATGTGACCTGATGAGACGAGTCAACACAACGCAAACGGCGCACAGTAGGCGAGAAATCGACCTCCGCTTTCATAGGATTTGAAAAAAAATCATTCTTATTCCCAAAATGACCTTACCTTTACACCAACGAAGTTTGTCTAACCTTCCGTGGTCCCTGACAAGACAGAAATTTGGTAAAATGGTCCCTCATGACTTAAAGGTTAAGAACCACTGTACTAGAGGCAAATGGGGGATTTGGTCTGCCAACCGCTGGCCAGGCGGGTACATGTAACATTTATTAATTTTTCCTAACTTTTGATTTGGTTTCTAGTTCAGATTTCTGGAAGTGAGCATTGTAAAAAAAACTTAAACGAGAATTCTCTATCTAGCCCCACGAAAAAATAATTATGCCGACATCATTTTTTTACCTTTCCACCTAATCTAACTTTATACATTGCCTAAAATCACCAAACCGTCTTTCCCATGATGATCCAATTTATCTCTACAAGTAATAGTTATCTATTTCAGACAACAAACGTAACCCTATTCTTTTTGTTTCTAGGAGAAGAAGAGCCATCTGCGACAAGGATCCCAGCGAAAGAGGTTTTGACACGATAGAAAGGCATATATCCTGGATGAACCGCCCCGAAGGGTAAACATTTTATAAATATAGTTTTAATGTAGTATTAGTGATACCCTATTACCACGCTATCACTTAAGATTGCATGAAGGCGCTGAATGCAGGCCACTACCAACCGGCCAATCTGGGGGGCCATCATTGGGGGAGGCCTATGTCACCTATATTGAGCAGAGGACATTTTAAACTTGATGTGGCTTCCATAGATTTGGAAACGTTGAAAATAAAAAATATTACCAGTGCTTCGAGACAAACATCGCCGGAACAAATTCAGTCACCACACAGTTGTCAGTCATTTTGGTTCAATTACCTACCTACTTCTTTAAGTACAACCCAATTGAGCTAACTGCGCACCTCCTTGGAATATTATGCGATTCTGCCTCGCACTCCTCCGGTGCGTCGATGTGACGTCACGGCCACCAGGTGCGCAGTAAACTCGAACGGATTGTAGGTAGGTATAATGTATAAACACTGTTATTGATTTTCACATAGACCTGTTTACTTTCAGGCCGGCTGATAATGAAAGACTGCTGATGAGACCGCAAGCCCCGCTGAATAAATATTACAAATGGGACGTCACACCGAGTGCTTGAATTTGATATTAAATTAATAAATTATGTTAAGTTTTTTAACTTGTGCTTTTAATAAATAAAAATAATAGGTAGGTAGGTAACACAGTCCTGAAATAATGAATTAGAAAGAAAGTTAAACAATGTTTATTACCCAGCTGAAAAACACATTAAAAATGAAAAGTTCCTATCAGCTCAGCTTTATTGTAATTTATAGAATAATGATAAAATCATTCTATAATAAAATTGGGCTTGGTCATAAATAATCTCATCAAAATAATCAAAGTTTTTAAATTGACCGACCATGAATCGAACCCGAGACCATCAAGTCGAATTGGTTTGCCTAAACGCAGCGCACATTGAAAAAGGAAGGAACTACAAAATAACCAACCGAATTGAGAACCTCCTCCTTTTTCAAGTCGGGTTAACACCGCGTAACGCATGCGCAACACACAAACACTATCGTGAGGTTAGATAAAATAAAAATAGGTATAATGCTGTGCGTGCGTGATTTTTAAATTATTCAGTGGATAATAATAATACTAGGGCACTATTTAAGTTGTGAGCCTCGACAACATAACGTGTTGTTAGACGACATCTGATACTTTTAATGAAAAGTTTGACATTTTTTACTACAACCTTATTCAAAACTTTTTATCATTTGAGCACGTTTTGTATTATTAACATTGAATTGAAAATTATCTTGACTACAAAAACATGGAATTGACTTGCGGAAATTTTCGCGCGAAGATTTATTATGATTTTCGACGTGGTTAATCAATACAAAACTGAAGCGGTCAGCTAAATTTCACTTTTGGTGATAAAGATCTGTCCTTTACCATTGTAAAACGCTAATTTAAGAAGTATAATATTGTATGTCATTGGCTCACCAGTGAACTTTGCGAAAGTCGTCCAAAATAACAAACAGTGGCGGAAAACATTGATGTTGTCAGAAAAATGGAAGAGAAATCTCGTCATGTGATATATCGTAGGATTGAGATAATCCTAGGCATTAATTCCACTAGCAGTAATAAAATATTGTATGACCATATTATGGTTAATACGTTTTTTTCTCGCTAGATGTCACAAAATTTTTGAAACGCTCAATAGGACGCTTGTGTCGTTTAGTCCTTGAAAA